CAGCTGAAGCTGAGCTGGAGGAGGGCCGGGCTTCAGAGGCTGGTCAGAGCGGGAGGAGAAGCGGCCGATTCCTGCCGCCACAGAGGGGAACAGAAACGCCGGTGAGCAGGGGGGGGCGGCGGCTGCCCCTGCCACACGCCGGGGATTGCACTGGAGCGGAGAAGCTCAGCCCCAGCCACCGGCTACGAGACGGATGAGTCAGAGGACTCAGGCACAATGGGAAGCGCGGGCTCAGCAGGGATGGGGACGTGCCGGGATGGGGACGTGCCGGGATGGGGCCTCAAGGCCACTGGGCGCTGCATCGCTGCAAGCAGAACCTCCTCCAAGGCAGGGCGCAGAAGCAGCGGGAAGAAACGTGGTTTTTTGCTCGCTTGGTCACGGCGAGAGGAAGGAAACGGGTGAACTCATGGCGGTGTGTGTGGAGAGGGCCATGCCACGCGTCCTCCCCGTCCTGCCGGCAGCTGGACCGGTCACCGGCGTGGGGCTGCCTGCACTTCTCAGTTGGTGCTGGCAGGGTACCAGGGACCACATCCCAGCTCGGCAAGAGCAGTCTCCAGCCCAGCTGCTTCCCCAAGGCGTCCCCACCTCCCTCCCGCCCACTGCTGTCTTCTCTCTTATGCGGCCTTTTAATTAAAAAAAAAAAAAAAGAAAAAAGCAAAGCAAACCCAGAAGTGCAAGAGGAATAAAAAAATAACCAAGCCAAAGCAGGAGCCCTATATCGCCACCCGCCCCGCGTCGCCCCAACAAGCCCTCGGCTGCCTCCACGTCCCACGCGGGAGCTCACGAGGGCAGAAATAATTGGCACGCGCTAATTACAGGAGTGAAGACAGAGGTGATGTTGACTGGACCACACAGCCTCAGGCACGCAGGTCCCACAGCACGCAGCGATGGGAGAAACCCTCCATGGCAAACCTGGGGTGGACTCAGCCATCCATCCCAAGGGGCAGTGGGAAGCATCCTCCAGAAATGTCTCCGAAGGCCAAAAAAAACGTTTGCCAGGATTGCAGCCACCGCTTTCTCTGCTCGTCGGCATCTTCCTTCCCCTTCCCATGGGACGGTGGCCGGGAAGAGAAAGACATCCTCAAAAGAGGCCACTGAACTTGGACGCCAGCATGGACCACCTGCACCATCATCCTGCCGAGGTCCCGCGTCACTCCCCAGGGCTGGGAGCGCCCAAACACTCGTACTCACGGCTGAAAACCACGGCTGCGGTTGCCCACCGGTGTAGGAGCAGGCACTCGCTGGCCTCTTTGTTGCAAAAAAACCCTCACTGTTTGCTCAGCAGAAGAAAATAAACTTTCTTTTTTTTTTTTTTTTTTTTTTTTTTTTTTTTTTTATGTGTTTCCTTTTTTTCCATTGTATTTTAATATGGGGGCACCTCACTCTTAAAAAAAGGTCTCTAATCCTTTATCTTTACCAGGACAGCGTCCAAAAAACTAATGCTGGAGGAATAGGCAATTTTTTCAATTTAAAACTGAAAATATTAGAATGAAAAGCGAATGTTTAAAAACAAACAAACCAACACCTCCCCCCGCCCCCCCAACTTTTAAGTATTACTAATGTCAACAAATGCCATTACTGTCAAGGGAAATATCTGAATTTAAGTGATTCATGGAATAATTGGTTTTTTGGTTTTTTTCCAGGCAGAGCACGTGCAAACTGGGATCCTGTGCTCAACATCTCTCTCCTTTAGCTGGGCATAGCCCACCTCTGGAGACCTACGAGGTGGAAGGCAAGCGCGGCTGGGGATGGGAGCCCCCGACCGTAATCTCCCATCGCCGAGCGGGCGAGATACGACGTTGCTGTGCCGTTTGCAGCAGCTCTTCGGCTGAGGCTCAGGAAATGGTAAACGGCAGCGATCAGCCGCAGGATCGGGGGCATCTCCTCCCTCTAAATGAACCAGGCACAGTTTAACTAACTGAGCTGTTTGCCCATTTACCGAGGACCCACCGCAGCTGGTGGGAGCAGGCGCAGATCCGCCGTAATAAAAAGCCTTTTCTAATACTATCTCTTAATGCCGTGGACAAGAAGTATCATTTTCTAAGAGGAAAATCCATTTGTCCAGGATTACATGCCACAGAAAATTATTATACAGCTGCAGAGGACAGACTTTCCCAAGCGAAGCCACCAGCCCCGTGGGATGCGTGGGTGCAGGTCCTGGCCCCACGCAGTCCCGGGGGGCTCTGCAGCGGCGCCGGGGGACGCACACGAATCGCTCGCGGATGGCCGGATCTGGACGCCGGCGCACGCTGCGGCGGCTGCCCCGTGTCCCGTGCTCTTCCTAGCAAAGAAAAAAAGAAAAAAAAAAAAATCACAGGGCATCAAGGGTGAATCTCCCGAGGTCCCGCAGGTTTCTGAGCTGTGTCGTGACTAATATTGTGACAAGAAGCAATCGGCGGTTTCTGTGGCTGGTGCTGAGCTGGCATTAAACACTGTGCTCCATCCCTGACTGCCTCCAGGCGCCCTGGCCGTCGATGGAAGTGAAAGTGAAAAGCTACGCCGGCTGTCCTAGCGAAGAGTAAGCAGCCCTGCAAAGCCCCAGCAGGACCACAGGACGACGGCACCGCCATCGGTGTGGCCGAGACGCGCGTGCTGCCGGAGGGACCGGGCGCCAGGGCTGTGCTCTGACACGAGCGC